CACTTGAACATTCAGCACATGAATTAGTCGGTCTTTATATACGACTTGTTTAGTTGGGAGGATGTGGTAGTTTCCTATTTTTTATTAATGAAAATTACCTGCTACCTTTTTTTATTTTTTTTGGGGGGGGGGAGGGGGAGGGTTGCAGCTCCCGTTTGGTCATATATTTTGGCTTCATTTTTTCAAAAAAAATAAATAAAAATATTATTTGCTTATAAAATATGATCATATTTTCGGGAAAAAATTTAAAATTTTTTTAAATTTCCAAGGATAGTTTTTGGTGAAATTGTTTCTTACATTCACATAACTTCAACCTTACTTCAAATAAAATGCATGTCCAAACACAAATTAAACTTTTAAAAATTATTTTTCAACACAACTTCAAAAACTCTTTGTTTTTTAAGTTTTAATCAAATCTATGTCGAAACGCTAGCCAAATAACTTTATCTACAAATTTTAGATGTAAGAAAAGATCACTTAATATTTTACATTTTTCCATTTATTCTCCTTCAGATTAATTATACGAACCTCCTTTGGAATTTTGGCCTAATTACAGAATTGGTCTTCGAAAAAGTAGTGAACTGAAGTAAAATGTTATACATGATGATTTTCGTTTTTCTGGAAAATATTTTATGGATCATATTTTGGTGTGCGGTTGATTATTGAGTTTAGTAATTCAGTGGTATTTTGGGTTACATACTACTCCATAGTTATGCGGGAATTTTAACCCATGAATAATTTATGTGTGATTCATAATTAGTGAATTGTTTTAGGGTCATTAATTTGTTATAGATGGATTACTTACTTTAAAATTTCTTTAAGTAATTTAATACATATTGTTATACCACATTATACTCGCAATCCTCATAAAACAATACATCCATTTCTGCACAACTTAATGTAAGGTATTATTTGATATTGCCAACCAAGTGTTGCAATGGTTATGCAGCAATTACTTTTTTCTTATGCAGCCAATCAAATACCATTATCTCATACTACGTGATTATATACGGGGGATAATTATTCCATACCATCAACCAAACAGCCCCTAAACTGTTAAGGGTCATATTGTCCCGTACTCTTCAAAAACGATTATATTTGTCCTTCATTATACTTTTTTGATATATTTATCCTTACCGTTATACTTTAGGATCATATTTGTCCATGTACTCTTCGAAAAGAGTTACATTTGTCCTTCGTTATATTTTTTTATATATATCCTTACAATTATACTTTAGGATCATATTTGCCCCTCATCTATTAGATCGCCATGTCCCACCTTTGTTTTCCTACATGGCGCCTATGTGGATTTCTTTTTCTTCCAATTTAAATATGGTCACCTATTTAACATAATTTAACCCGCCCACCCAATTTAAATAAGACTTCATTAACTCCATTGTTGTGCAACTTCTCGTAATTTACTTTGGTCACTGTAATAATTGTGAGCTGTATTAGATTAGTGATTTTGAGTTCAAAGTTATTGTTTGCCAATATGTTGCCGCTGCTATATCACTATAGTATTCCGCACAATCTTCATAAATGTCGTATCAGGAAATTGCTTTTCGTGGATCAATCATTGTCAACCGTAGAGGTGGGCATCGGTCGGTTCGGTTCGGTTATGAATATTATCGGTTTAGCATATTGGTTATCGTTTTACAAATTTGATAAACCGATAACCGAATCGATAACCGATAACCGAACCGATAAGATATCGGTTATCGGTTATCGGTTAATCGGTTATCGATCATTATCGGTTCGGTTACCGGTTTACCCGATAAGATAACTCAATCTAGAGTTAAGCAAAAAAGAGAAGACAATTCACTGGAGTTAAGCAAAAAAAAAAAAAAAAGAGAGAAGAATTCACATATAGTATATTACCCATTTTTGCGTTCTATCCAGTGGCCACAACTGGAATAGTACTAATTCTTCAACAACAGTTGTCCAAATACATTAATAATAATGCAAAGTAGTAGCAATATCACCTTAAAATTAACAAGTCCAAACATATAGTACTAACAGTCCAAGATAAACTGGATGTTATTTGTCAAATGCCTAACCTGAAAAAAGAAACCATAGAGCAAAATCTTGATCTGTGCATGGGCATACTAACACAGAAATGAAAAACACCTAGAAGGAAAGAAAATGTTGTCTTGTTGTCAAAGCTCAGCGTACTGTACAGAAGAATAATGTTCAAAAATATACCCAAAACTGACGAAGATTGTCGATTGAGAATTGATAAGTTCGAAGAGAAATTGGTAGTAGGTATAGGCTGCACAACGTGAGCTCACAAAATTAAGAAATAAAAATAAAAAAATAGAAAATCATTAACAGTCAAAAACATCAATATGAAGATGAATTTTGTTATAGAAATTAAAAGCCTAATGTATAAGACTAAAGACTTACGCTAGGAATAACTAGTAAGGTCTATGAAGAATGAAGATGAAGCAACTGAAGAGTGCAACTGAGAGAGAATAGGAGGAGAATGAACTGAAGCCCTAGAATATGTATATACTTAAGGGTAAAGTCATAATTTTATTAATTCTTGTTGGTTAGCGGTTAACCCATTAACAAAAATGGCAAACTGAGGCCCGAACCGATAACCAAATGGTGAAAAATTCTAAATCGTTACCGAACCGTTAACCCATTAACCCGATACCGATAACCCAATAAATAATTAACGGTTTGGATTATCGGTTTTACCCGATATATGCCCAACCCCAGTCAATTGACCCAGTTTAGACTTTACAGAGTTGTAACTCTACAAACACTTCAAAACATCATTGAGTGATTCATGTCTCCTAACTCCTAAGTATTAAAGGGAAAAAAATTAACATAGACAAAGGTGAAATAATTAAATAAATCAATTAGAGATAACACTATAGTTTCGTTCACTCACTGTCCAAAATTATCTCGCTTTCCGAAAAATATGGAGTTGACCCGGAGAAGAGAGATGGACGAGTGAGTGGGGGTGGGGGGGTGGGGGGTTGGAATTAGGATTTCCATTTATTTTAGTTAGTGAGTCTTATTTAAACTGGGTGGGCGAGTTAAATTATCTTAAATAGGTGACCATTAGGGGTGTTCATAAAAATTCGAAAAACCGAACCAAACTGAAAACCAAACCAAACCGACCAAAAAAAACCGTTATTTTTTGGTTTGGTTTGGTTTGGTTTTGGGTTTGAATTTTAAAAATCGATCAAATTTGGTTTGGTATTGGTTTTAATCAGAAAAAAAAAAGCGAACCAAACCGACTATAGGAGTAGCTATTTCAAATTTATTATTACACCTATATATATATGTATATTTTTATATAAAGTTTCAAAAATTTAATGGTAAATGTTAATAGTTTGCACTTATTGGTAGTTTTTTTTTGTTAAGTGTAAGAATCCATTTCGTGTTAAAAATAATATATTTTTAATTGAGTCCTAAATTATTCATCACTATTTGATTCAATTATCATCAATATATATTGGTAAATAATAGATTTCTCAAAGGGCAATTGATTTGATAGTGTTACGTTAAAAATGTGGTCTCCGGAATATGTGTTTGATAGTGTATGTCTTATATTTAAGAAAAAATCGACAAATAACCGAAAAAACCGAAAAACCGACATAAACCGAATCGAGAAAAACCCGACTTAATTGGTTTGGTTTGGTTCTAATATTTGAAAAACCGACTTACTTGGTTTGGTTTCTTTTTAGGGAAAAACCGATCCAAATCGAACCTTGAACACCCCTAGTGACCATATTAAAATTGAAAGAAAAAGAAATCCACATAGGCGCCATGTAGGAAAATAAAGGTGGGACATGGCGATTTAACGGATGAGGGACAAATATGATCCTAAAGTATAATTGTAAGGATAAATATGTCAAAAAAGTATAGCAAAGGCCAAAAGAACCCTTTTTGAAGAATACAGGGATAAATATGATCCTAAAGTATAGCGGTAAGGATAAATATATCAAAACGTATGACGAAGGTCAAATATAACCCTTTTTGAAGAGTACAAGGCAAATATGACCCTTTTCCTACCCCTAAATGTACAAAAAATATTATTGCATACAATTAAATTGCTTAGATTAGGAAATTGCATGTAACTATATATAAGTGGCAAAAAACGTGTCATAACAGGTTAAACTGCACTGATAGTATAAAAGAAAATTTCTTTATATAACTTAAAATCATTCCAAATAACAACAAGATGTATCATCCCTCTTACCTTTATTTTGTTTTTTTACTTAATATCTACCCTTGATTTTGCTTTTATTTGGAGGCTTCACTCTTATTTCAAGCATGGGTGGCTCAAGGGGAAGATTAGTAAAGCATTTGCTTTAGGCCCCCTAAATTTTGGAATCTCAAAAATATTTTTAATTGTGAATTTTCTATTTTATTTTTGCTTAGACAATATTGAAGTTTGTACAAATCCTTATAAAAGTAAAAATAAAGACCGTTTATTTTTTAACAATAGAAATATTTTAGAACTTTAAATTCAAATCTTTATATTAGTAAATAATATTTTTACAATAAGATTCATGGTAACACATTGTAAATACGTGGCTAACATATTAGTAACTTGAATTTTCTTACCAATATAAATATTAGTACTACGTAATATATTTTGTAAGATAACTAAATTGCAGACAAAAAGAAAGAAAAAAAACAAAGTAAATATTAGTATTACATTTTGTAAGATAACTACAGTATAAACAAAACAAAAAAAAAAGAAAAAGAAATACCACTTATTAAAATTTGGTTTTAGGCCACGAATTTTATTGAGACGTCCTTTATTTCAAGAACCCTCTATTTTAATGGTTTGTTTAGTTCTAAATTGAATAAACCATGAAGTGTGAAATCTTGGTCATCCATTTCATTTGGAACCAAAGTGCTAGTGAAAAGACATCAAGAATAAAGCAAACAAGAAAAAGAAAATAGCAAAATATGTATTTGAAATTCTTCAAAGAGCGTTCAATCACAGCTCATTAGACAATAATTTGCACTTTTTGACAAAAAGAATGTACTATGCATATTTATTTGCTGGCCATGTCAAACTCAAGTACATGCAACCTAGTATATAACATTTCACCTACATATATCTACAGTTCACAATTCTATGTATCAATTGAATTCAGTTTCAAAATCTAGCAAGTTGAGAAGTTGTGGAGGTATTTAAACAAAAATGGCATCAAATAGAGATGAATCTGAATATGCACCCTAGATGTTAGCATATCTTTCTTCTTCAACATAGTTGTTGAACATTCACCGACAAAATCTGCTACGCTTGTCAAAACTTCAAATTCTTGAAGCATTACACTTCTTGTTTTGATTTCTTATCCCAGTTTCGGTTGCTCAGATTCCGACATAACTGGTCTAGAACTTTCATCACCTAATAATGCTTGCTTTGAATTCCAACAGCTCTATGGTGCAGACATCAACTACAGAGGACTCAATCGCATAAAAAGATCCTCATTGCTAAGAAGGTCTAGTTCTAGATGATTTTACTTGTTTGGATTATCTGTAAACTTTTGTCAGGGTGACTCAAGTAGCGCATCCAATTCTATGGCACATCTTCGCTTGAGGGGAGGCCATCTTTTGAACTTTTTCTTGCTCTGTAGAATACCGTCATCACCAATTAACATTTGCTCAACCTGCATTGCAATATCAAAGATGAAAAATACAATACATAGGCTTCTCTCATGCTTTTGTTGATGTTAAAAGATATAGCACGAAGTCTTCTTCATATAAGCTTAACATTTCCAACCACACTTAAAAAAAGCTTTATGTACAGATAAGTTCCTTTTGAGTAATAGTGTTTATATGATATAACCGCTAACCATTTGTAGTATAGTTCATATAACAGACTTGCCATTGGCCTAGGGTGAGAATAAATGGAACAAACAAACAAAGCTTATTTACCCTACATCCCCTGAAAAAAGCACAATATATCATGGCTTTGAGTATAGCACAAGGAGATTGCCCTGCCTCTCCCAGTAAAGGTTTCTTAATCATTTAAACATTGTCTTTGGTTGAAGCAACTGTCTTTGTTATGAGAATGCAACATGCAAGCATTAGGAGAATGTTTTACATTGTGATTCTTATGTCCATCATTAAATTTTCTTTTGAATGATTATAATCAACATTTTCCTAATCAATTAAGTTTTGAACATTCTGATTGTCCCATCATGCATTAGCTCCTAGAATTAGAAGAAGCATGAATATGAAAGATACCAGAAGATGGTAAAATTTGCAGCAAAAAGCCCATACTCTTCTTTTAAATGGTTATATTATCAACATTTCTGTTACTATGATAATATTAGTGTTGGCTATTCTCCGACTAAAATTCATGTTACTTGCCTGGCTCATTGAAGGCCGGTCTGCTGAATCTTGTTGTATGCACAATGAGGCAACCATAAGAATCTGATTAAGCTGTTCTGAGTCATAGGCATCTCCAAGTGATGGATCAACTATCTCATTATGTTTCTTGCCGAGAAGTAAAGGTTTAGCCTGTAAAGTTATTTGGTTACAGTTTATCTTACCACTCTGATTGATACTTGAAACAATAGCCAATTTGTATTACTACGTCTACAGTTGATTAAATGAGGGGACTTGAGATGATTACATACCCACATCACAACACTATTACGAGATTCATCCAAAGCTGGACGTCCGGAAATGAGCTCCAACAGTAACACACCAAAAGCATAGACATCAGTTTTTTCATCCACAATGCCATGCATAAAGAACTCAGGAGGGAGGTAACTGCCATGAACATGTAAGATAAAAGTTACTATAAGGGATCCTTATCACATATTTACAATAGGTAAAAAGCTTAGGTTGCCACAAACCCAAAGGTGCCTTCAAACTGCGATACAGTGAGGTGAGTCCACTTATCAGGGAGCCATTTTGCAAGTCCAAAGTCAGATATCTACAGAAAATCAAAAGATGAGCAACAACAAATCCTGCAATTTAATGCGGACAAAATAGAAGCACTGCAACCTTGTAGAACTTGTGACTCCAAATTTCAAAATACGAATCAGTAATTAGTAATCTGTAAATAAACTGAATTGAGTTTTATCCTTAAAGTAATAAGAGCCATCGAGTTCGGACACTTGAAGAAAACTTCATGTTGGTAACAAGTAATAAAACACAGTTGAAATTATGTATTATATGCAGGTATTATGAAAGATAACATTTCAAAAACATAGAAATGAATTTAATTGCATGTCAATAAAGCCACTTCGAAACACCACAGATTTTCATCTGTGTGATGACTGGTACAAAGAAATACCTGAGCCTCAAAATCTTCTGTCAACAATACATTAGCAGCCTTTATATCTCTATGGATAATCCTCCTCTGGCACCCCTCATGAAGATATGCAAGGCCTGCTGCCGCGCCCAGAGCAATATTATACCTTATGTGCCAAGTCAATTTACCCCTCTCACCTGAAAATGTAAAATACATAATAAAAGAAAGTAAGTTAAAAATCTACATAAGGTGTAATTTCATAAAAAGAAGATTAGGGAACATACCATTAAGCATATTAGCTAAGCTCCCATGAGGAGACAAAGGAAGAACAAGGTGCATCCCACCTTCAACTCCATATCCAATTACATTGGCAATGTTTGGATGTTTGACATGTACTAAAATTCCTAGCTCAGATAAGTAGTCAGACGTCATTTCCTCTTGAGATCCTCTCGTCAACCTTTTTACTGCCACAGGTTGGCCATCTTTGAGATGTCCCTTGTATACTTCAGAATAACCTCCCTCACCAATCAAATTCTCTTCACAAATGACAATAAAAGATTAGGCATCACAATGTGGTTCTACAACAATAGTAGGAGCAATTATATAGAAAAAGCTAGAATACATATAGAAAGCGTTACCAGGGCTAAAGTTGTCGGTAGCTTGCTGAAGTTCTGAGAGGGAGAAATTCTTCCAGTTAGCTTCAAAGCAGTATTGCAAATCAATATCTAAATTAGGAGCAGGCAACATTGGCATGCTCCGCCGTGCACTCCTACTTTTTCTTTTGGATAACATCTTTAAGGAAGGTAGTGAAGGTAGGGAAGGCATGTTAGAATGGAATGTATGCAAATGTATGGATGGCCCTTTCTTTAGTCTTTTAATGAATCCTTGCCAACCATCAGAATCTGAAGTGCTAGGCTTGGAAGTTGTTGATTCAGACTCTGTCTGATCCTCGGGAGCTTCTCTTATCGACTCCTCATATACTTTATCCTCCTCAATAACTTCTCTAGTAGAATCTTCATCCATATGATCTTCCCCCATGCTTAGACTTTGAAACTCTAGCATAAAATGATAAAAAGATAATACTATATAAACAGATGTAATATAATACTATATGATGAAGAAACTAGCGTGTCCAATGGATTTTCACCTTCAGCAGAGAGAGAAATGGAGGAAGCACAAAATAGTAGCTTGTGTCCTATCTTGAAAAGCTCCTCGTCTGACTCTTCTTCATCGACATTGTGGGTATTCTCACTGTTAACATAATTTTGGGAATCCAGATATATAAATAAGATCATTTCTTGAAAAGCACTGATTTTATTAAGTTTTAGAAAACCATACAAATATTCCACAAAGATTTTACAGGCATACAAACAAGGAAAAAGCTTCTTCTCCCATTTCTTCATCCATTTTACAGATCACACGTCCTTAAATTGTTAATAAAACAATGTTATCTGAATCTACCTGCATCCTAATTTAGGAAAACGACGCAAAAATCATAGATTATATAAAAGACCGAAAGCCATGCCTAGAAATTCAAAAATTGCCAAAGAAAAACTGCCAACATCATTTCTGGTTTTACCCCCAACATAAAAAATGTTAATATATTTCTACCTTGTCATCCGAATTTTGTCATATGACAATGATACACATAAAGGAGGAGAGTCGCGATAGATTGATGATCAACGTGACAACGGTCTAATATAATGAATCCTCTATGTAAAGATTCATATAGCCCGACCCAATTACTATTTTGGGATTGAGAGGTGGTTGATATGATAGAGATATACAATGATCCATATATGAAATCACATAATATATAGAGGGCTGTGACATTACTATATCGTCAACAATACAAATTGGTCTAGCTAAAATTAACGGGGCTGCCTATTTCCTATTTAGCAAAAAAGAGGAAACTTTAATGAAGTAACAAACCAAACCAAATATCATCATAATCATAACAAATGAGTTTGAGAATATATACCATGGAGAATTAGCTGAATGTTCAAGAATAGTTTCCATGGATCTTCACAGAAAGAACACAAAATTAAAGCCAAATAAACCAAAAAAAGGATGAATTAGGCTTCCTCAACAGAATCCAAAAATGGGAGAATTGCAGAATGAATGAGAGAGAAGTATAGAGAGAGGAGGAGGAGGAGGAGACAATGAGAAAAAGGAAATATGGAAAATAGCGGTTGTCATGTTGTCAACCTGCATTTGCATGCCCGAAATTGTGGAACGTGTAAAAATAAATACTGTAGGGACCTAGAGCAAAAATTATAAATACAAAATATAATTAATGATAGCATATTAGTAGATATACTCTTAATATATATATACTTTTTATTTATATTCAGCATTTAATTTTGCGTGCAGATCAAATAGAGATCACTACTGTCAAACTCAAAAAGGTTCCTTTTTTTCCTTTTTCCAGTTTCTCTTTCGAGGTGGATGAAGTCAAAGACGAATCTAGAATGTAAACATTGTGGTCTTCCAAGTTAATCAATATTTAATTCTATTTCTATTTGTTTTTGCACACACACACACACACACACACATATATATATATATATATATATATATATATATATATATATATAATTTGGTCCAAAACACTGAGTTCTGCCGAACCTGATAACTCATTCTTGGATTTAGTAGTACTCCTGAATGAAAAGGGAAGCAATAAAATGTACGTGAATGCTTTTTGCTGGTGAAGCTATAAATTAAGATACAATACATAGATTACAAAAGAAGAAGCTCCAAGGTAGTGAAGCAATAATTACAAACTTTTGGTACATTTAATTTAATTCATTACTTTACAGTAAAAATACATGCAACAGGCTCCAAACTAGGAAGATTACATTGAAGCTTTGGATATTTTATTGGGCATTACGAGTGATCAACCCTTCAAATATGGTATATAGGTCCTTGTTTTCATCACCAAAAATTTCAGCTGCTTTGCGCAAAGTATCCTAAAATGTTCAAAATATACTGTTATATTTGTAAAATGCGTGGTAGTTAATGTATAAGATTCAAGTGATATAATTAGGGAAATCATACCTCTTTTGTTTGCTTGTGCGAGTTTAGTTCCTTAACATTTGTTAGAAAGGCACCAAACTGCTCGTATGATAGCCGACTCCTGATAATGCATAAACCATCCATGGTAATGAAACAGAAGCTCAAAATGGAAAATCGGGAGCATATAAAGATGAATCACAGAGGATAGTGGCAATAGCTTTACCTGACTTGTCGGAAGAACTCCTTCCCATCCACTCGAGCTCGTGCTGGGATAGTACATGCAAATGGTGGTGAGACTCATGTCAGACATCAAAACAACATAAGGCTTTAATTTTGTTAAATTAAGGAGTAGTAACACGGGTACGCATTTATGCACTATACATAAGTGCAAAAGAGTAGATGACTGGTGGCACTTAAGCTGCACGGTATCCAGTAGAAGGTGGTGATTGCAGACAAGAGAGCCATCCCTCATCCTTGCATTACCTTACCCAAAAATAGGCCCTCAATTGGGAAGAATGTATTTCATTAACTAAAATTTATTCATCCCAACAATTCTACACAAAAGAAGTTGTCCATTATAGACCAACCTTTGAGCTTAAGACAAAAGTACTGCAGTTTTAGATTAAACAAACATCACAGATATTAACTTATGCATGCCAAACTTGAGCAAAGAAAGGAACCCAATTTGATATTTTCAAAAGAAGAACAAACCAGTTTGTGATCCTGTTTCAAGGCCTGACATCGAGCCATACTGGCTTGAAGTTGACGAATATACTGAAGATCTGTCATCAAACATGCCTCTTGTTGTTGAGAATGAAATGGAATGTCTCCTTGGAGATAATGGTCTTGGTGACCTTGAAGGAGACACAGATGCCGAAAGACTTGGAGGGGAACCAGGAGGAGTTAGACGTGGAGTACTAGTCTGTGATGCTAACAACAAGCCTGGCGATATGCGAGGCCTAGAAGCTGCAACCATTGAATAAAAATATAAGTTTATGGTTAATTTACAGAATGTAAAATGTTTCGTAGATCAAAAGTTGCTTAGCCAGAGGTCATCAACAATGTCACAATACAGACAATTTTGGGTTTTAGAGCTCACTTTCTGACTCGGCATCCTCTGAATATGAATGTCCACTCTCTGTTGACTGGGCCCGAGGAGGTGGCAGGGAAGCATCTTCATCTGAATAATTTAAAGAATTGGCAAAGTTACTTGTTTCCTCCAACCTCCATTTACCCCAAATAGAAAAAGAAGTGTCCAGTACATATGCTAAGAGAAAATCAAAAGGGAAGAGGAAATGACTCAAGTATAGTAGAATTAGATGCAGAATAGATTCTCAAATCAATAAAAACCTTTTAATCCTTAGAACCAATAATAGATAACTTCATGTGTCGAAGTATCCTCGTGAGAAGACAAAAATTCCTATATCTAAAAGCTGTGGAGAAACTCCACTCTAATACACATACTTCACATAGCAAACTCTGGAACATATGTCACATAGTAAACTTCAGAGCATATTTCACATAGTAAACTTTGGAGCAGCACAACAAGTTCCCAAAAAAGATATTGAATATGAGCAAATCGCTGAAAAAAAAATATAGACATCAAACAATGACAAAAAGGACAAACCTGATTGGCTTTGTCCATTTTTGGCAAGATTTGGAGCTCCAGCCTGTCAAACACCAAAAGTGACGGGGTATTAATAAGGATAGCACATCCTCTACATAGCAAGATTAGGAGGTACTAGTGTTGCCAGTTTATCCTGAAAAAGTTTCAGCACCCAAAACTTCAAGCCCATATCCACTTAATAGTTCAGTACCCTCACAAGCATTATTTTAGTTCCAGGAATACTATACTTTGGTGTAGTTAATAAACAACAGGAAGATGGAGAAATCCTTCAATTAACTTACCGGGCTGTCTTCTTCCTCATTGAGTGATCTCATAAGTGTCTTTCTGAAGGCTTCCAACTGTAATTTTCAAGACAAAAAATCTTTTACAACACATAAATTCCAAAAGCAATAGTCTAAATACCATAGTAAATACATGACGTCAGAAATTCGGGACAAGAGGGATAGCGCCTTTATGGGGGAAAGTGGATTGTGGGTGCAAGGTTGAGTTAAAAGAAGCTAACACATGTTATGTATCAAAAAAGTAATAAAAAAATAAAGTATAATACAAAACACACACACACACATATGATGCAGCTAATTAGAGAAAATAGAAGATTATCATTAGCTCCAACAGGTTATGTAGTCTGTACTACAGCACTAGTCCGATGGCAATGCAATATGAGTACATAAGTGCTGGTTCCAGATTTCTTCAACAAATTTTAAGCCATTATACACTCGGATAGTGGGTTAATGAGGCATGAATAACTACCACTAGTGAATTGGGGTGAGGTGAGGTGTACGAATAAAGCTCCATTTGTATGTTCAAGTGAATAATGTACTTGAATAGACAGTATCTCATAATACTTAAGTGCATGCAGAAAGGATGACTGATACAATAGCATTATGTAATGTATGTAACTGCTAACCAGAGGACATTACTGGAAAGTATAAAAACGCTTGTTTGTATAATTGCTAAACTGACAATTGCATACTCTATAACAGGTAGGAGCTCTCGTCACTCCATAAGGTCTTTAACAAGCTACAAATTCCTCCGAATAAAGTGAAACTATTAGACAAATACCCCTAATAATCTTGTCTTCCCACCCTTTTTTTCCCCTTCCTCTTTTACTTTACTCTCTTAAATCTATTATCAAGCCATAAAAGCATATTGCTATTTCAACTAGCTTCTAGATTAAAAGCTCTGATTTCGGACCTCGGGAATGGAGTCCTCTTCACTCTTTAGAAAAGAGCAGTTTACCCCCCTTAGTAGGCTTTCCTGGCGACTAGCCTAAATCCGAATTAGTCGTGTAAACTTTTGAAACCGGATGCTTAAAGGAAAAAAGAAGGGGAAAGAAACCTTCTACATTATGACCTATTAAAAAGACACCAAATCCACAGGATCACCTATTTAAAGATTCAAACTTTACTTATTTTTAGCTATCTATAAAAAGATTTTAAGAAAAAACTTTGAGTTTCGAAAACTATAATCTTTAGACTAATGCTAGTATGGACCAAGTACAGCAGCATCATTCAGTTGACAAATTGCGATAATTTGCCCAACTCTAAAAACCCATAATCCAGCTTTCTTGTCTCACCCACTCCCATCCCCAATTTTTCAAATGAGCACAACACAAACTATGTTTCAATCACAAACTAGCTGGAATTCGCAATTTAAAATCCTCTATATCCATTATGCTCCATCCAGCCCCAAACAAACTAAAAACTACTCCTTTGTTCAAAAAGAATGTTGCATTTTACATTCACAAACAATTTAACTTTAAACTTTTTATTTTACCCTCAGTAACATGATTCATAACTTGTTTTAGGCCACAGGTACTAGAAGTCTTTCTTTCCTTCTTAAATTTTGTGTCAAGCCAACACTGTCACGTTGGGACGGAGTAAGAGTTAATAATACCTTAGCAACATCACGATTAAGCTTCTTTACAGTATTGGATAGCGCTGCATTCTCTTTCACCAAACCCTCCTGCAAAAATTCAAACACTATCAAAAGGTCAACCCCTAGTCCAAGAAGAAGAAGATACAACACTAGGCCCAAATTGGCCGCGTCGGGTCGGACCTTCTCCTGCTCGGCGCGGGAAAGCTTGTCGGATGCGTCGGAGAGGGAGGAGTCGAGGGAGTCGAGCTGGGAGTGTAGGTCGGAGATGACGTCATCCCTCTCCGACAGCTGGCGGCGGAGGGTGTCGGCTTCCGATTCCAAGGCGGAGATGCGCGTGGAAAGAGCAATGGAGGTGATCTTACGCGCAACATCCAGCTGTTCAAATGGATCTGACGGCAGTACTTCCAATACTTCCTCGGGAAGATCGAATTCCTTAGCCAACATTTTTTTACTTATTTTTCTACTGTAGTACAAGTACTATATTATTAAAAAGGTTTGTAAATTTGTTATCTCAACTCCCTATTGTTTTTTTTTTGTCTTTGTGGTATTATTGGTATGGTTCTGCTGTAAAATTTATGTGAAGGTGAGGAGGATAAGGTTATTTTTTGGACTTATTTGTTCATTTCCATGTGTGGTTGATTTTCTACTTTC